CATCGATCGATGGACATTGGGCTCGAGCCTCGGTGGGAACATTATCACTCCGTTACTGGGGAATGCAGGTACATCCAGCTGGGAGATGAGTCCCAAGTAGGACGAAATGTGCGTTGTCCTGGATTCCACTGCTAGTCACCATCTACCAATTAAATTCTAATTTTGATTTATGTTACATAATTACATTTCATGAAAAATTCCCTTTCGAACATTAATAGACAGAAGAAAAGTAGTTCAACGAAGAGTCTCTTTTCGGCAAATTCATTTTCATATCTGTACAATGTATATGGTTGTTTTGTATATGTGTATACAATTAGTAATTTCAGAGGAATTGGATGTTGATATAAGAGGGTAGTAACAAAAGTGATGAGTTGTCACAAACGATTGTTAAATAAGAGTTACGTGATGGCGTGAATAGTTTGATGAAAGAGTTGTGGTCAGGGTGTACATGGAAACAAAATATACGGAATCACACAAGGGCTTTAAGTAGAAAAATGAGCATACAAACAAAAGTTAAGTTAAATCAACGGAGTTGTTGCCATGAGAGTAGAAGTGGTTGAATAATTTTCTTTTGTATGCACAGTTCTGGTTCCTCCAACTGAAGGGCTAGGGCTTCTGCGATGCAAAGAAGACGGAATCGTACTGTCTTTGGAAGATTGTTCTTCACTTTGCAGATTACTTTGAAGGAGGCGTTTGTTGAGATGGAATGACCTGTGTTGACGAGGTGTTGGATTATTGCACTCCTTATGCAGCCATTACTTCCTTTGTGCAGCCACGCTGGATAGTGTTCTTTGACCCTTTTTGACAGGATTCGCGTTGAACGACCGATGTACATGGCTCTTTTCTACTTAAAACTTAACTTACGTTATTTCCAGGCTGTCAGAAGTTGGAAAAAAGCTGTGCAACAAAAATGAGCTCTTTTTTTATCTTGTAAATGTATATTCCATCCCTGCGTTGTACATCCTAATCTAGGTGATGAATAAGGTGTGTGAATGAAATATTTTCAGTAAATTGACGACTACATTTCATCTGCTAACTAACTAACTTTCATTCTCATGTTTAATAGAATATATACATTTTAACTTAATACACATGTTATAATAAGGTTCCGCTAACTTATTGTGAAAAAATGTTCATCTGCCAACACTCATTCCATCCATCCATCCATCCATTTTTTATTGATTAATTTGTTATAAATTGTTGTATTTTTTTAAAATATGATTTCACGCTAAATGGAAATTGAAATTACCCTCTGCTTTCTTTCTTTCTTTTTATTGATACTTCAGTGTGATTAAAAGAAAGCATGAAATAAATGTGTTTCACTTCACTTCACTTCACCGATGAACTTGATTTATGCTGCCTGTTTTTCTCTCTCTCTCTCTCTGTCCTTAATTTTCGTTGCATGTAATCATTATTCACATTTTAATAGAAAATAGTGTTGTTGAAAATGATAAATCAAGTGGGAGGGGGCGGGGGACCTGTGTCTTGGTATTTTAATTATTTCATCAATTAGGTAAAGCTATTTTATTTTGTCAACGGGGTTTAAAAATAATAATAATAATAATAATAATGTAGTGTTTGTTTATCCTAGATTGGTTGGAGTGTCACTTAATTATTATTAGACCTCAAGTTCAAAATATGTACATGCATTTTATTTGGCACTCACTGTCAGTCAACAGTGATATATATATATATATATATATATTACTGGGCACTGTATAAAACCCGTGGTCGTTCACCTCTAAAGCTACTGGCTTTATTATTCAATAGCATAACTTCCCGAATTCTGCTAGAACTACACAGTTAGTACTGCTTAGCAAAATCGATAATATATATAAGAAGTATAAAACATAAATAGGGTATCTATGTAACTTTTTGTTCACGATTTTCTCTAACTCCAGTGTTTTTCGGTAGGGGGGATAAACAGAAACTCTAGAGCTGGTCATATCATATCAGTAAATTATTATACTTGTGTGTTATATTCAGTGATTGGAAAAGCCGAATATTTAATTTAGGAAGTGATCTCTAGTTTTAATCGACAATTGTGTACACTATTTTATTTTATTTATTTATTTTTGATTACAGCTTGATTCCACACCGTATTTTCAGTACAAGTATGGAATTTTCAGCATGTTATATCGGTAGCCCAAATTTTGCAGGCCGACCATAGATATCAGGTGTGCGTCGGCAGGGGATCGAACCCCGGACCTTGTGCATGATCAGTGAGAGTCCTAACCACTGTGCCACTGATGCATAATTTTGTTTTCAACTACTTAACAATTGAATATTTTGAGAAAAGTAATGTACTGAAGCATGAAATTATGGAAAATCATTTTTTTTTAAAAAATACACAGAAAGAGGAAATTCGAAGAAAACAATCAAAATAATAAAATAGGGAAACAAAAATATGCAAGATGGATGTAATGTGGTGTGTTGAAGTTCATTTTTATAAATAATGAGAAGCTGATTGTGTTTACTTCAAAAAGTCTGTGTTCATTAAAATCAACTCAACCAAAATCTTCAATCTTTCTAAAGTTTGTTGAATTTTAGATTTTCCCGTCGATTGATTGAACTGAAGTGCTCGGTCTCAGGTTGACATGTCGACTTCTTGTGCAGATGCTTCGACGATGTCTAGGCATGTAATTAGAATTTAATTGGTGGATGGTGACTAGCAGTGGAATCCAGGACAACGCTCATTTCGTCCTATTTGGGACTCGTTAGTTGGATGTACCTGCAATCCCTATCGAGTTTAAAACTATGGGCACTGGGTTCGAGCCTTGGTAGGAACATCATCACTGACTCACTGTGGATTGCAGGTACATCCAGCTGGGAGACGAGTCCCGAATAGGACGAAATGCGTGTTGTTCTGGATTCCACTGCTAGTCACCATCCATCAATTAAATTTCTAAAGTTTGGTTTACATTCCGACTGTACATTATTTCGTAGTATGATGAGAATATTTTCTGATAAGCACTATGCTTATATCATCTAAGGTTATTTTTGAATACTGGCAGAATATTGTGTGTGTGATGATTGCCTATTTAAAAAATATGCCCAAACTGTAGAAGCATCAAGTGTAAAGACATATATATACGTGTGTATATTCTGTTTACTTGAAAGAATTAAACCAATCTGTTTTACTGTTCTGCTTGTCTGTTGTTAAAATAAATCTACATTTTATGTGTACATGTTTAATCATGTGAACATAAGAAACTTAACTGACTTTATTGTTTCATTATTTTGTTGGAGAATTTCATCATGAACTGAAGTGAGTTAGAAAACCATTGGAAAACCTGCAGGGAGTACTGGACAGCTGTTTCGTCCTAGTTTGGGACTCTTCAACAGTACGCACCCACCGTCAGGGTTAGAACCCAGGACCTTTTGTGGTTACAAGGCGAGCTAGCTCGTAGACCCTTAAGCCACTGGAACCCGATCCAATGGCCAGCCCAATTCATTATTTGTTTTTTCAAAAAAACTATTTATTTCTTAATGATAATTACGATGTCCTTATGTTTGTTGAGCTGATTGAGACAGTTTAGTCGCCATACATTGATGCAGTAACTTTTAATTGGTTCTAGTTGTTAACAGTTGTCTGTCTATAGAAATTAGAATTGATATGGTGGAGGACGTGTGGACTACTACTTCATAACTTTTCAGTCAAAATCTTTTGGAATACATTTAAAAATAAGTTAAATTCGTGAAATAGAGTAAGATCAGTTGTTAGGTACACGCTTTTGGTTAACCGCCGATAAGATTATAGCGAAAACACACGAATCTTGATTGTTTGTTATTCAGTAAAATAACATTCATTTAATGTTTATCGGCATCATTTGATTTTGGGTTTTAATTAACACTTTTTTAAAGTGACTTCTCTCATCCTAATGTCATTATCGTATATTCTCTTTTTCAAATTTGTGCTTCGTTTAGCAAGATTGTGTATTGTAATTCAATCGTTTTCAATTGAATGAATATATAGAAAAAAATAATTTAGCAGTGTATTCCAGTTGTTGTTATAATCCTTTTATTCATCCTAGCTGCAGATTATGCGACCTTATTTCGATATTTCAGTATCGTTGTATTATTATTGTTATTTATTTTATTCCTTTACATTCCCAGTGGAACATAGGGCTTCAAGCTAAAACTTTAAAGTTTCGGTAGCAATGGTGTTTATTTTACAGGGTAGGGTTGCTAGCTTCATGCCCGAAACTCCCTCTCTACCAGTCTTATCACCGGCTTAGCGGGGTAAAAGAGTGCTCCGGCCGGGTATCGAACCTCAGGACCACATGCGTGGTTGGTGAGCATTCTACTGCTAAGCGTCGGCGGCATAGTGGTTAGGACGCTCGCCGACCATGCACATGTTCCGGAGTTCAATCCCCGGCCGACACACTCCTTTACCTCGCTAAGCCAAAAATAATGCTGGTGAAGAGGAAAGGTTGAGCATGAGGCTAGCAACCCCATCCTGTAAAACTAAACACTGCTACAGAAACTTCAAGCCTCTAGCTTGGGGCCCTATGTTCCACTGGGGAACGTGAAGGAAAAAAAAATCATCAAGCTACTGCTAAGCCACCGCCGCCCAGTGTTGTTTTACAGAGAAATAGTATCAAAGATGATATTGATGTCTACAGCTCAGCTTCCATAGAACAGACTTCAGCGTGGAGAGCAAGAGAACTTCCAGAACAGCCACGATTTCAGTCGCGCTTTTCTACCCTATCAATGCTAACTTTTTTTCCTCGCTTAGTTCACTTGTTTAGTTCGCTAGATATAGAGATAAATGATAAATAAATATACAAACAAATGAATGTTAAAAATATTTTTGTAGACTTCCAGACGTATATTATTATTATTAATGCCTTTCTTTTTTTCTTTTGTAAAAGAAAGATGAAATTTTGCTGTCGTCTATGGGCAAAATTTTCAATTTTTATTCAATGTTTTTTGTTTACATCATATTATTCAGTATCACCCCCCTTTGTTATTGTTATCCTTGTTATTCATTCTACTAGCGGATTATTTAAATATTGCGCGTGAAGTCAAACAGCTATTCCATGAATTCAATATACATTGTACAACAATACAACCAGAATTCGAAGAGGTAATGCGCTTTTCTCTCTCTCTCTCATTTGAATGCACATAATCATATTTTGATCATCTTTGTTTTGCTGTGAGAAAGGAAGATTTTCATGGTGTGTAAATATTTTAGGCGTGCGTGCATGTGCGTGTGTGTGTGTTTGATAGGCTTGTTGTGATTTAAATTGTTATAATAAGAAAAACTTATTATTATTATTCACTTTTAGATAATTTTATACGCTGTTTTGCTGTTTACCTAAGTATTAATCGCTGTTCTAAAAGTTTTCATGCTCGTTTGTAATTAAGTCTGCTGTTGGGTAGTCTGTTACAAATTAGACTGAAAAGCTTAACTGTATTATTACTGTTAGGATTAACCTACTTCAGCCTTATTTTGATCACAACGTAAACAAGAAGGATGCAAGCAATAGCGAAATTCAGCCATTAAATACGTGTACACAACCTTTTATGCTTGTTAAACATATGGGTAATTATTGTTATTATTCCCTTGGGTTCCGAGTGGAACATAGGGCTTCAACAAGACATCTCCAGTTTGTTCTGTTTTCTGCTATCTTCTTCAGCTAGGCCCACGATTGACCAAACTCTCTCACCTCTTCCTCACACGATCTCCTGCATGTCACCCTCGCAATGACGATCCAGTCGTCACTTCCCACTGGGATTTCACTCGAGGGCCTAGCGTGCGATGTCTTTCGGCGGCTTCCTCAATGTATAGCCGATCCATCTCCATTTTCTTCCACATATTTGTTGAGCGATTGGTTCTTGTTTGGTTTGTTCCCAGCCAGAGTTTCTTGTTGCTAATTCTTTCTGGCCAGCCATTTGATCTTCAGTATGGAGCCAGTGAAGGCTGCTGTTGATGAAAGTCTGCAACCTGTTGAAAATCCTTCTCGTTACCCGCCAAGTTTTTGACCCGTAAAGAAGCACCGACTTCACATTGGTGTTGAAAATGCGAATCTTGTTCCTTATGTTGAGTGTAGAAGATTTCCAAACTGGTTTCAGTTTGATGAAGGCGTATCTTGCCTTTCCGATTCTGCCTGACTTTGACATCTCCATCCGTTCCGCCTGTAGTTGAAACGATGCTTCTTAGATAAGTGAAGGAGGTAATCTCTGTTAAATCTCTCTCGTTGATGGTGATTGGTGCTGGTTGTTGTTGTTGCAGTTCGTTGGTTATCTTCATCACCTCCGTCTTCTCTATGTCCACCTGGAGTCATGTCTTCGCTGCCTCTTCAGCCAGTTTGTCGGTAATATTGAACGACTAAATTACTAACTCTCTCTATATCATTATTGATATAAGGATAAAACTTGGGCACTGTGGTAGAGTATATCTCCATTATAGATAAGATTTTATTTTGATAAATCACACAGTGTTGTACAGTAATTATTTACTGTTGACCACGTTTCGAGCACAAATTATTGTCTAAATCATATCAAGTCACTCACACAAAGTTTGTGTCCAAACGTCGAAGAATAATTGATACTAGTGACCACTCATCACAACGTGTGCTCTTCAAACATAAAAGAGATATTTATTAAGGAAGTTCAGCAGGTTGAATCGTCCATGCCTTAAACTTTCATTCAATGTTCTCATTATAAATTACAAAAAAATTCATCGGTCTTCACTTCAATTATAGTTGAGCTGTATTTGTACAAACTGTTGTAAAATCATTGTTATGTATACAGTTTTGTCTACTCATACGTTCTGTTCTTTTTCAACGCTTATTAACATGTGTCCTTACAACTACTAAACGATTGTTAATCCAACCAACGTCATAAGACATAGTTTTGATTGATTTTTCACACTTTATGTTATATAATACTTTTGGAATTGTTGTTAAGTGAATTGCATCATTGAGTGATTTCTTTTTCTATTTCCTCCCTGTTTGTTACGCTTGTCATTTAAATAGATTTACATATATAAAAGGTCGCTAACTTTCTAGTATTACTACCATCCTTGTTTTTTAAAGGCTATTTGATCAAGTCATTTTGCATACAGCCCAGCATTCTTTCCTAACTTACAATTTTTAAAATCCTGTGAACTTTGGTCGTATCAAGTGCATGAAACAGACTTGACTAAATCGCTGAGATGTTGAATGCGTAGATAAAGTGAAGGAATAAACCAGTTTTATAAAAACTCTGAAATTTGAATAAAGCAACAACGATAAATGTACCAGGATAATCTGGGCTTATTTTTCTTTGCTATTTCGTGAACTCTTCTCAACTGGTTTACAACCTGAACACAACCAAAATTATAAATTAAATTAAAGATCTAGACAATGATAAGGAGTAATTTATTCGAACTAAGAGTAACATCAGTCAGGAATGATGTAAGTTGTTAACTAATTAAGATTGAAAAGGATCGACTATTTACAGAAGAATTGCATGACTAAGCTTGGAAACAAAAGGACATCTATTGAACTCAGTCCGTTGTTTTTCCAAGCTTAGTCATGCAATTCTTCTATAAATAGTCGATCCTTTTCACTCTTAATTAGTTAACAACTTACATCATTCCTGACTAGTGTTACTCTTATTTAATTGAATTTTAGATTTTCCCGTCGATTGATTGGACCGAAGTGCTCGGTCGGTCTCAGGTTGACATGTCAGCTTCTTGTTCAGATGCTTCGACGATGTCTTGGCATGTAATTAGAATTTAATTGGTGGATGGTGACTAGCAGTGGAATCCAGGACAACGCGGATTTCGTCCCATTTGGGATTCGTCTCCCAGCTGGATGTACCTGCATTCCCCAGTGTGTGATAATGTTCCCACCGAGGCTCGAACCCAGTGTTCATATCTTCAAACGCCAAAGCGTTATCCACTAGACCACTTGGGCCACGGGAGCCACCTCTTGTACATTGGGTCATATTAATTATTTAGTTGAATTTTAGATTTTCCCTTCGATTGATGAACTGGGCTCGAGCTTCGGTGGGAAGGTCATCACTGACTCACTGGGGAATGCAGGTACATCCAGCTGGGAGACGAGTCCCAAATAGGACGAAATGTGCGTTGTCCTGGATTCCACTGCTAGTCACCATCCACCAATTAAGTGTTACTCTTAGTTCGAATCAATTACTCCTTATCATTGTAAAAAAAGTGTGTTCAGATCTTTAATTTATTAACATAATTTTGGTTGTGTTCAGAATGTAACCAGTTGAGAAGAATTCACGAAATAGCAAAAAAAATGAGCTCAGATTATCCTGGTACATTTATCATTGTTGCTTTATTCAGATTTATTAATAGGGGAATTGTGTGAATTCTGAAATCTATTAGATGTACAAAATGAAAACGAGATATTAGGAGAGTACAGTCCTCTCTTAATGATTAGTAATCTTAATATTTCTAGAAAATGAAGCAAAAAAGAAAAAAAACATATTATTATTATTGTTTCCTTTAATTCCTAGAGGAACATAGGGCTTCAGCCGTGCGTCTCCATTGCGTTCGGTTCTCTGCTAGAGTCTTCACCTGGCTCCAAGTCTGCCCACACGTTTTCATCTCCTCTTCACATGACCTCCTCCAAGTCACCCTTGCACTGACGACCAACTCGCCGCTTCCCATTCGGGTTCCACTCGAGCGATTGCCTGTCTAGTGATGTCACTTGATGGTTTGTTTTCTCAGAGTATGGCCAATCCACCTGCATTTCTTCCTGCATATTTCCCGCACACTTGGTTCCCGCCTTGTTGGTTCACTCATTACCAGAGATCCCTGTTTCTGATCTTTTCTGACCGGCCACCTGGTATTGAGTAGTATTGAGCGAAGACAGCTGTTGATGAAGGTCTGTAGTTTGTTTGAGGTGCTCTTCATGACGCGCAGTGCAAATCTCTGATCCGTATAGTGAGTAGCACTGACTTCACATTGGAGTTGAAAATCTGGATCTTATTTTTGATGCTGAGTGCTGTTGACCTCCACACAGACTTGAGAGTAATGAAAGCTTGTCTTGCTTTTCCGACATCTTAGAGACCTTTAAAATATAAATAACATAATAATTATATAGTGAGTCTTGCTCTTGTTACTATATGGACACATTGCAAAATATTTATGAAATTCCATGTAACTTTCAGTCCTAGCTGTAAATGAATATAATTTTTACATTTTTAAAATTTTGTTCTAGGATACCGAAGGATCGCCGTCAGATTATCTAACCTGTGTATTAGATTGTGGTCCAAACAAAAATTGTCAATCAGATACATGTTGTCCTGCATCGAATGCGGTAACATCACAGTCGATCCCGTTGAATGCGCTCTCCGCGTCACAGAATTCCGTGGATCCAGTATTGAATAATGCATCGAAATATGAACAAAACAATTCACCAGATAGAGACGTACGCCTTACCCTTAGTACTAACCCTTGACTCTACCAATAACACACGGTCTTCCATTTCGATTCAATAAATGTTTTGTATGTTTAAAAATAAAAGGAAGAAGAAAAACGTTTCTCTTTGAACATTTCTTTGTTGTTTTTCTTTTTTTTTAATGATAGTGTTTTTTGATCCTGCAGAATTTAAAAAAATAATAATAATAATCCTAGATACAATATGAACAATTCACCCCTGTGTATTTTAAATAATTTTATTACACTCTCAACCTCCTCCTCTGCTCAATATTCATTCTTTTAAATAATGCCAATCAAAACAGAAAAATGTGTATACATGAATATATATTTCATCATATGTTCGTTTTACACTTCTGACCAAATATTATGCAACACTTATGGTCATGTAAAATACAAAAATTACGCTTACATCTCAATTATTATTATTTTGCTGACTCCATGAAGTTAATTTGTTCAAATGTTTTCCTTAATATTTTTTTGTGAGTTTTAAATATTTATGTATAATAAATAGTATGGTAATAATACGGTCATCAATGTGTATTTCTGGAAGCATTTGTTGCGTGAATATATACATATATATATATTTACATGAACAAGAAAATCTGTTTCTTTCGTGTTCCCCCTCCTGTTCCCTCCCTACCACCACCACACACGCACTGCTCAAAATGCCTTTCTCAAGAGTAATTAAAGAAAGGTGAAAGAAAAAATAATAACCAAATTGCAATTATAATTGTTCTTATTACTACCGTACATTGTTTTTTTTAAGTTTTACGTCCACATATCAAGTGGAGACGTTGAAGACAGCACAAAGAATTACCCTGATTGTAGTTATATATATACATTTCCTAATTATTCTTTTTTTATCCTTTCATTCTCTCTCTCTCTTTCTATTTCCTTATTGTGTTTATATATAACTTATGAATCTTTTACAAGAAACCACTTTTCTTAAATACTGTAACCCTGACAGTATATATATATATATATATATGAATCTGTATACACTTACAACCGACTGAGCATCTTCTGTTTTGCATCCTACATATTCTTTATTATTATTATTATGCAAATGCAACAACATTTTATGAGTTTTTTTGATTAAGTTTTGAAAAAAACAAAACAAAGAGTATCCTGTACTACTATTTGTTTGTTTGTCTGTCAGTCTGTCACAATTGGTATGAAGCTTTTTTGGTAAATGAAAAGTGATTTTCAAAAGAAAGTGTGTAATTTTTGGTGTCTCACAGTATGATGTTGAAGCGGGTATTTCGGAGATTTTCGGAGGGAATAATTCGGTGTCTGTAGTACTAGTTCACTAGATGTACATGCAGATATCGAGTCGGTCGGTCGGTTGGTTTTCGACATAGAACTTTGCACATATGTGCGGCAGTTCAAATCGCCAAAGCACACAAAGCAAGAGAAGAAAGTAGAAGAAATGCATAATATAGTCAGTAAACAGTGGTGTGAGACAAAGGTATAGTATTAACGAAGAACAAAACAGTTTAATTGGAAATCATAAGTCACAAGGAGTGGATGCATCTGCGCCACTGAGAACGATTTTGAGCCATGTCACCAATTGTTTCCAACCATTGGTTTTTACCGTCCCGAGGACCCCAACCAGGAAGTTTACACCTTCCTACGTGGCTTAGACTAACTGTTGTGGATTTCATTGATTGGCGCCATGTTTTCGTTTGACCGCCGCTAGCTTTCATCCAGCCTGACCCTATATCAGCTAACATTGCCCGTCGAGGAAGGCGATGGCTGGCTAGGAATGCGCAACACATGTCCTAACCATCTCAGTCAATGTAATTTCACAGTCTCGTCGACTGATTTTTCCTCCTTACCTAGCACTTGACCGAAGCCTAGCTTCAATATTGCTCACCCCATTATACCACTTCACGTGGGAGATAGAACGCAGGCACCTATGATCAAAGATTGCTAGCCAGCCTTTTCGTGTCTTCCACTCTCAATAACCAGGTTTCACAGCTATCCATAAAGGAGGATGGAGCGGACTGATGAGCAGTACACACGTCCTTTGGTCGATAGTCGGATATCACGTCTACGCCAGAGACGGCGTAAAATGGCATATGCAAAACTAGCTCTCTGTATCTGTGCTGAGATTTCGTCAGCAATCAACCCGTTGGGGCTGATGGTACTTCCCAAGTAAGTGAAGGGGTCAACGTGCTCTACCACTTCACTTCCTATTTCTAATCTATGGGTCGGTGTAGTCCAATCCTGCAACAACATCTTACATTTTACAGGGGCGAATCGCATGTCAAACATATGAACATTGCGGTTCAAGGTGTTCAGAAGACTGCATTTTGTCCTCGCCTAGAAGGACTATATCGTCCGCATATTCTAAGTCAACGAGATTATTCCTTGGTAGCAAGTCAATCCCTGAGTCGCTGAAGTGTGATAGGGTTAAGTCCACTAGTACGTCTATGATGAAATTGAATAGGAATGGGGATAATGGGCATCCTTGACGGACGCCACTAGTCGTCACCACTTCAGATGACAACTCACCGTAAGCCCTCACCTGGCTGCATGAGTACGAGTAGAGTGCCTTAATCAGTGCGATGTATTTTCTCGGCATTCCCTTTACAGCCAAGCATCGCCAGAGTACCTATCGGTCGACAGAATCGAATTCCGCCTTCAGGTCAAGAAATATAATGATTGTCGGACGCCGGTAAGAATGCTTATGTTCTATAATCTGTTGAAGGGTGAAGATATGATCAATACACCCTCTTCCTGGCCTAAATCCTGCCTGGTTTTCTCCTGTTTGTGCCTCCGCACATACGCATAACCAAACTTTATATTCCAACAGTAATAAAAACAAGACGCAGCACGATTGAATCTGTGGTACTATTGAATGTATATAAAAAATACAACATTAACTGAACAGCACTGTCATGCAGCTTTGCATTCTAAAAGTTTCCCAGGTAGAAAAATTACACACTAAGAATCATTAAGAGTAATTTCCAACAATGTTGGGATGAAATCTTTGTCTGCAAGGATCAAAAAAAAAAACACGTTTCATACACAGACAGTCTAGGGTCAAGCAGTCAGTTCATGGTGTAACCTTGAATTCATTCAAACAGAATCGTAATAGTAAAACAACTCATTACCATCAACAGTCGAGTGAAGCATTAGGAATAGGAATCAACCGGACATGTAGACAATTAATAAGAGCTATGTTAACAAGAAAGATACGCAAGATGATAGGCAGTCTGACTAGATTTTGGGCCACTCAAAACTTTCATCTCTCCATTGCATAGATTTTCTCTCTTTCGGTTTGTTACAATCGGTTGAGATTTGACCTCTTTTAATATTATCCACTCTGGTGTGTGTATTTAAAATGCTCACAAGCTCCTGATTCGCAAGTTCCTACTAAAATTGAGGAATGGTCTGATTGGGAATGGCAATGTATCCCGATACATGAGATAACTGTCCTTGAGTAGATTGAGTCCTTGATGAGGTTGAGTAGAGCTCAGCTAAAATTGAAATTGAACAAAATTCAAGTTAACAACAGTGGTAATTAGGGGTGGGGGAAGAAAATATTTAAATGATTAAGAACCAAACAAGCAAGAAAAAGACGAAACAAAAACTACATATTTGGTGTTAAGATAGATCAGGTCCACTGTAGATTTAATGACTGAACAAACTTCTTTTGTGTGCAGAGTTCAGGTTTGAAACTTGTGAATTGCCATTGCTTCTGCAATTTGAAAAAGTTTGATTCGTACTCTTTTAGCAAGATTCCCACGTATTCTGTAGATGACTTTGAAGACTTTTTCTCCTTTATAAAACCATGAGGGTAAGTGTTCAATGGTACGTTTGGATGGCAAACTCTGAGTTCGGCCGATATACCTAACTCCACACGAGCAGGTGAATTGGTAGATACACTCCTAGTTAAAAATAGTGTAATTTGCCCTTCCAAATAAATAAGATAACCACTTTGTGACACAGAGGTAAGTGCGCGCTGAAGTCAGCTTGTCTAAAAAGAGTGTCTTAGGAACAGAATGACAAGCAGTAGTGTGTTATGGTGCGAAGCAGTGACAACATTTCAATTACTTCCACTGTATTTAGAGGTGAATTGTTTTTTTGGGGGAGGGGTAGTAACTGAGAGTTCTTGAAGAAAGCTGTGGACTACCATTTCCTACCAGATAAACTTATCTAATACGGAACTGCCATTTCCTCTTTAGGATTTCTAACCGGATAGTAACAATAGAGTATTCTGTGGACGTATTCGTCTATAGTTTTATGAACGTCTAAGAACAACAAACGGAAGACTCTCGACCTCATTTAGGTAAAGAAAACGCTGAGCCTAAATTTATATAGTAGCTAGCTTGACACGGCAATGCCGATCATTTCGAAAAATGCCTGTCTGTAAAAGCAGTGGTATATAAGGCTGTTAGCTAGATTCAAGTTTTTTTTGAGTGAAAGCTGAAAGTGACCATATAAGTACGTTATATTGATGCATGAAGTCACTGACTGTGTTCAGAGGCTGGTGTGCAGAAGATAACTGAGAGCTATGCTTTAAGAAACCGGATAATCTAACTCAGGACTGGGTCGGAGTTGTAAAAATGTGTTCCTATTTTCTCCTAATTTTAGATGTTCCAACGCATTTGTTGGTTTTCTTCTGCTGATATGACAACTAAGGCAGCTTGAAAGTGACCATTGGAGCTTGAATATAATGTGTGCGTGAACTGCACATAACATAAAAGGTTGTACTGAACAAACAATCGAAGTAATAGATGAATCAGTATCCCACATTCAATTAGATAATTTGCGTAAGCTTTACATTATAAATAATGAAACTTCCAGATGAACAGAATCTATAAAAAAGTAAACATCCACTTTCACTTATCTAGGCAGCATAGTTTCAGGTACAAGCGGAACAGATGAAGATGTCAAAGAGAGGCTGGGAAAGGCAAGACAAACCTTCATTAATCTGAAATCAGCGTGGAAATCTGCTGCACTCAGCACTAATGTTTCCATGTGAATCAGAGACTTGGCGCGTCGCCAGAAGCATTTCTAACAGGCTGCTGTTGATTTCTACTATCAGTTTGCACTGACTGCATACTGAAGAACAGATGACCGGCCAAAATGGATTAGCAAAAAGCAACTCTGGAAACGAACCGACAAGAACCCATAAGCCCGAGAAATATGCCAAAGAAAATGGAGATAGATTGGACACACACACCTGAGAAGATCACTGAGTGAAATGATGCTCAGTGCAGTTTCTTGAGTGGAACCTGAATGGGAAACAGGGAGTTAGATTTCTGAGGTTGGCCTAGAAGGAGATCGTGTAAGGAGGAGTAGATGAAAGCTAATGAGCATTGGTGGAGCTATCAAAAGGCACTGCAGAGAACAGGACGAAATGGAGATGTGCTCTTTAATTGGGATGTTCCACTCCGAACCTAACATCTATGCATGAAACTACAAAATAATTCACAATGAGAATTACCAAAGAGAAAGCAAAATCAACTGTTATCAAGAATTCTTACAACTAGCATATATAGAGAGATTTTTAGATATGAGACTAATGTATTCTTTTTCTCACTGATTTTCCCTCTAAATCGTTCGAAATTCAATAATTTGAACATCAGATAACCTCAAGAAGCTAGTATTTCAACCAGTAAAACTTCACTGATTCGTTACAATAAGCAGTTTTTGCAGATGTGACTGTATAACTGCTGCTGTGAATGTAATTTAAACTTCTAAACATATTTATATGACAAAATATGATTTGTGATGAATCATCAAATAGGTTCAGAGTTGGGACTTGAGGATTTTCCAAATGAAATAAAACGGTATTTATTTTTCTTTGTTTGCACTTCTAGAGGACCCTGAAACCTTATTTTTCCTGATTATCTTTGCAATTAAGACTGACTTCTTTTCGACCCCTAAGAGCATCATATATGATCAGTAAGTCAGTGGAAGAAATCAAATGTTGAATATTTTGCGTAACATGACTCAGAGTTGCTTTCACTGAGCAGGAATTATTTTGAGTAATCAATAGAAAATCTTTGTAAATTTTTGAATAGCGTAAGGTCAATGTTCGCATGTATACTTCGTTCATGTCTGAAAAGTATTCAATGTTGTGCAGGGGAAAACTAAATAGAGTAAATCCATCTTTTTTTATTTGCCCTAGTTTATTTAACCTCGTAGTTCGCTTATCATTTCATGCGTTTATGCGTTTTGTTCTCTC